TTCCCACCTCCGTCTTTGAAGGCGCAGCGGCGAAAGCACTCGCCAGCGGTTTTGGGCTTAAAAAAGTGGAAGCGTCTGCAAAAAGAGCGGGCCCCTTTGTCGCCATCACGGGAACCGCTTTGAAGATAATGTCGACCCAAAGTGCCCTCATTCATCTTCCCCGCACATGGGACTACAAAGCAGGGGCTGTTTTTGCTCGTGGTAGTGGGGTTTAGCTACTCATGCGTGCTCCTGTCACCCTTGATTGCCTTATTCCATCGTCGCTTGCCTTATAGAACACTGGGAGTAGATGGATATGACTTCTGGCCACGCAAAATCACCCAATCTGCCGATTCTACAAAGGCGGGCTTCAAATGTCTTCAAACGGAGGTGAGGGAGGAGAAGGAGTAGCGTTTTTTACCGGATTGCAACGACTCCTGAGTTCCAACTCCGTTCAGAGATCACAGGAAAGCCGAAACAGCTGTTTCTACTGCCGCTGCAGGATGCCTTCAAAAGCATCCAAAAAATGTAGTTCAAACGTGCCGCGCCTTGTTCAAGCGCCTCTGCTTCGTCAACAGTTCCTCGACCTACTTTCTTACTCCCCATTTTCTGGTAACAGTGTCTTCCGTTGCTACGGCAACGGCTGCAGTTTGTTATAGGATTTCGCGCAGCTGTCCCACACTTGAATGAGCTTGTCCAGGAACCATCACTCGAACAACTTCAACTATCTGTGGTCCACATGCCTTCCAGCCTTCCTCCTCTTTGTTTAAATGGGCGCCAGATAAGTTTTGACCAATCACAGTTTGACGATTCTACAATACCTAGTACCCAGTTTGAAGGGTGCCTAGTGCTACAGGACCTCATTCCCAGACTTTTCGAGTCTTAAGCAAACACCTACCGCTTAGTAACGGATTCATCTGGATGCTTTTTTACGCGCTGTCTCATCAATTTCTGCTAATATTAATTATCGCGAAAGCTAGCCAATAATCTCTTACGCGACAGATTTGCATATCGTTAAAACGTCTTTTTTCCCATTTGTCATGCCAGAACGTAATGATAAACGACAAAATACGCAAACATCCTAGTTAGTTGGTGGTGGAGGAAGGAGACAAGACACCCAGGGCGCACTGTGAGCCAAAATTAATTAAATGAAGAAAATCAACCAATCCATAACTGGGCAATAAAAACAGTGACTAAAATTCACCGGAGACGTCAGTTCTACGGCTCTCGCTGCAGTCAATCAGCCGAAATGGACGTTATTTTGGTTGCATATCGGCTTTACCTCCGAGTGTCAATAATGTGTAACGACGGACCGGATGCAGAACCGTGCGTCTGTCCATCAACTCAGCCTCTCATCATAGAGAAAACCCACTCACACCCATGGGTGCTGCTGTTTCTCCTCCAGGATGCAAACTAACACCCCCACACCGGACACACTGATTGATGGGAGTATCGGGGATTCGTACAATCACATTCGTAGTAATTGCTGGTCCTTCATTGTCTTTGTTTAGACATTCATCCCAGTTCGGTGCCTGACTACATGAAAATCGCTCTCAACTACGCCTCAATCTGCACTGACTCACGCCAACAGGATTCAGATGATGGCTACACGTCCCTCAACGCGCTCGACAGCCTGAAGACACACTCACCGGTACGACGATCACCCAACACACATCATCTCAGTCGTCGTCGTCGCCACCGTCCGCACTCAACCTCCTCGTATGAGATTGCTGATGGGAACGAAACGAGCAGCAGCAACACCGACGACAGAACTGTGGTGTATGGGCGCGTGCCGAGGGACCTCGTTGATGGAATGTACCGTCTGAAGGTTAAGTCCACCACCGCCTCCGCCAACACCACCACCACCTACGCCGTCACAGCTGCAGGCGGAGAGTTCATGGGGAATAAGCATCTGGTGAGGAAGTATCGCATGAAGCGGAAGGACGCCGACTCGCTGGAGAAGGAGAGGAGGAAGAGCACATCGTCGGATCAGGAGGACGTTGATGCGCCGTCACGCAGGAAAACGGGCACTCTGCC